TTCCGTGATATTGAACGAATACAAATAATAATTTATACTATAATAAGATATGAAAGTAGATCAAGAAAAGATGATAACTCGGACGAGACAGAAAAGAAAAAGACAAACAACAATAGAAGATTTTTTTTGTACAAAACTCAATCCTGTGTTGTATTTGAAGATTTTTTCAACTAAAAGATATTTAAATAAAAAGAGATGAACAAGAGAATGAATAGCTCTTATTTCACTCAGGACTAGTGTAGAAGCAGACATTCTGGAATTTTTTCTTCATTTTGCCGCAAAATATGCGTCACCTCTCTAAAGTGAATACCTCCCATAGTGAACACTTTTTGGACGGTCCCAATGGTGTTCACAATAGAGAGGTTTTACTGTAGTTTCGAACTCGACAAGCTATCACATCTTGTAGAGCAAACAATTTTCTACAAAGTGATATACTTGTCAATGTTTGCTAGCTCGTCTTCACTCTTTTAGACACACCTTTTAGATAGCTCCAGAATCGATTTTTAGGATTGTTTGTACAACAGCTGTATTTTCATAACGAATCAACATTCATAGCCGAGACACTTTTCATTTTGTAGAGAAATGTTTAATCTACTTGCGTATCTAGTTACCATTTTAGATTAGTTTGTAGCTTTATTACCATAACTTTTTGAAAAAGAGCAAAAAATGGAAGCCGTTAGCTGGACAAGCCGTATTGGGCCGCATCCACACATAAAGTAAAACAAAAGTTGATATGTAGGTGCACCACACAAGCTTAGCGTGAAGTTACTGTAGCTTATACGCTTCTAGGAGAAATCAGTAAGATTTTTATTCAAAAATATGGTGGGTATAAGCGTTTATTTTTGTCAAGTTTTCCTTCTTGATAGTATACACTTACGCGGTGGTTTTCGTTTCGGTGTTATGACTGTAATGGAACGTTTTTCCAATATTTCATGCACTGTTTGTTCTACGACTTACCTGGTTGTCTCGGTGTTGGTGGCTTTCTGTATGTTTTTCTACTTCCAGCACTATCACCACCACCATCACCGTTCATATTTTCATTCATATCATTATTATTCAATTCAAGTTGTTCAACAGGTGATCGACGTTGGTTTTTTAATGTTCTTCTTGATCCGCCTGTTCCTTGTTTCATCAATGCTGGAACAGGTGGTGATGAACTTCGTTGTTGATGATGATCCTCATCAAAATTTGTTTCTTGGTTGTCACCGCCACCACTCTGATTATTATTTTCATTATTATCGTGACTTGGTGGTGGTGCATTATCTCGTCGTTTTCTCAAATCCGCTCCTTTCAGATAGAAAAAACCAACAATATTCTTATGGTTAATCTTTAGAATTGAAATACGCACTTCGTTTTATTAAACTATCTTCTTGTTTTTGTCTTTCGAGTTGTTCATGTAGCTGTTCCTGAGCTCTGTTTGCTTGCTCTTCTTTCTCTTTTTTCTTTAACATCTCAGCTTCATATTCTTCTTGAATTCTATTTTGTTGTTCTTGCAAGCGTCCGATTTCTCTTTCTTCTTCAGCTCTTATTTTATTTTTTTCATCAATTGCACGTTGACGTTTATCTTCAATTTGTCGTTTTAAATCTTGTTTATACTTTTCCTCTTGATTTTTTTGTGAGTCTGTTTTAGCATTACCAAATATACCATTACCACCTCTGGCATAATTCGGTGATTCTGGTCGTACCTAACAAATTTTTCATAAATAAAGTACGGAATATAGTGAGATTTTTTTCTACTCACTGAGATTTGTCCCGTTTGTTCACCGTTGTAAAATGGTGCATTATGAATTGAACTAGTGCCAGGTTGATAGTTTTTATCATCTTGTTGAAATTGAGGATGCTGCGAAGGAGGTGGCTGCCGTGATGATGTTTGAGGCGGCTTTGAATTTAATTCAGCTAAATTAGCAACAACATTTCCATCTTTATCTCTCATGGGCGCTCCGCCACCACCTCGTCCAAAATAATTATACGTTTGAATATCCACTTCTAATTTACGATCATACTCATCTTTATCGACTTTTTCTTTCATTTTTCTCATTTGAACTTCACGAATTTGTTGTTGTAACTCTTGTTGGTAACGTTTTTTATTCGTTTGTTCAGCATCTTTATCGTCATCTCGACCAATTTGAAAGCCAGTACTTTGTTGTTCATAACTGTTATTTTGCTGTGTTTGACCCCTGTTCTTCCTATGCTCGTACTGACGACCAGTGTATTGCTGCTGTTGTTGTTGTTGCTGTCTATCTCGATTATTATTTGCATATTGTGAACGTGTGTGTTGATCACCAACTCCACGAGGACTGATTAGTATCTCACCTAACTGAGGATTACTAGAAACAGCTGGGCGATTAAGAATTCGCGCGAGGTCTAAATCAATGGCATTTCGTTGGCTAAGACGTTGTGCAAGTAATGTATTCAGTGCACTAAGATCTTCGACATAACCGGGACCGCCACCACCAGACATCATACCTGAAACATCAAAAGAAACTGCGTAAACTTGACTGAACTTTCTCATAAGAATAATCGCATACCTGATTCAAGCTGTTGTTTTCGTCCTTCTAATTCTCTTATTTGTGAATGTAATTCTAAAACGTACGCTTCTCTGTCTCTAATATATTGTTCATCAGTTAACACTGAATAATCCGTCGTCGTATTGTGTGACCTTGGATGTCTCATATTTGAATTTGATTCAAATGTCGATAGGTCATTCATACTTTGAACATTTTGTATGCTTCTCGAGCGTTCATCTTTCTCCCATGGAGCGACCACCCCCGTATCGTTGTCCTTCGTGCTAATTGTTCGTTGATTAAATTGAACACGTTTTCGATTGTCACGTGTTGTGGTGTTTCCATTTTGAGTTTCACGATTTAATTGTGTTGTACTTTTACTTTTTTTTGAGCGTAAAAAATCGTTATATTCACGTTTTAAATCTTGTTTTAATTGTGAACGGCGTTCATCATACGTGCCAAATCTCTCAAAAAATGTTATATCATTTTGATCACTTGGTGAATGGTGAGAAAATGATTCAAATGATTGGTCAATTGGTGGTGGTGGTGGGGGGAGAGGAGGTTGTTGATAGGAAATAGAAGCGTGCTGTGGATGTCGCTGCGCTGGTGAATCATCATGAATTCTTGTGACTTTGGCATCTAACTGGTTGCGAACATTTACGTTATTTTTAACATTTGGAGGTCGGCCAGAACGATCAGCATTGAGTTTCAGCCGTTGACGTTCGATGAAATTGTCAATGTCTTGTGATGCAGTTAACATTTTGTTTGTGCTTGAATTAGTTATCTAAAGTACTTGAAAAGAGTAGTTCAACGTGATAATAAATACTACTATTATCCTGTATTTTATAGAAAGGTCTCTACTGCGACATTCGTTTTAATTAAGACTTTACCGATCTCTTTTTTCGACTATACCCCTCTACCGACATCCGACTTTCAGGGAAAATTTGATATGACTCACAATATTCTTTTTATGCACTTACATGAACGAAGAATCACACAACAGCTCAAAATGCCTTGCTCCTGCTCTTTATATGTAAATGTCTTCAAAAACATGTGAAAGTTCTGTTTTTGTTGCACGTTATGATGCATTTTCTCTCATTGACTAGCAAAAAAAAGAGAAGAATTTTATTACTGTTCGTTCTGTTTATTATTATTTTTGTCTATGCCGTATACACCTTTCATTTGTTAAGTTACCTTAGATACTAGTTAATAGTTTATTGTAGAAAAGAACAAGAAGAGGTAGAAAAAAACCCTGTTTTGGTTCATTCTCTTTGCAGAATGGTTGACAGAACAGAGAACAATTCCTCATGTCAGTTGCTGATATCTTTGCCAAGAGTAAGTTGGGCAGATTTTGTAAGTTTGGACTTGACATAGTTTATAACTACTCTCAATTTTTGAAAAAATATGCTCCTACACTCTTAGAGTTTTTTGTTTAAAAATGGCCCAAGACGAGTATTTACTCATGCTTGAGTACATTCAGGTACAGAATCTGAAAGAATTCGTACTCGCGCTTTTTCTTTTGACATACCCAGAGGAGTACTCGAGTATTTGATTTCAACAAAAGTTGAGAAATTTTCTGATCACGTCTAAAAAATATTTGATGTTTTCTAAAAATTTCATAGTATAAAGTAGAACCAGAGGTATGAACGATTAAAATTCTTCGATAGTGAAAAATGAAAAAAATTGTGTTCTACTCGAATAAAGTTTTTTGTAATCCTGCTCGCACTTGGTCAAAAATACTCTGCATTTCTAATCATACTCGAAAAACCGTACACTCACTCATCCCTGTTTCTGTTTTATTTCAAACAATTAATTTCTGTTTTAGTGGTACACAGTTTCGTTGGAGTGGATATCAATCAGCGGGTATACAATGGTCAATGAGCAGTTTATTCATCGGAGAATGCCAAAGTTTTTGTCATGATAGAGGTGTTTGTACAATTTCTGGATGCCTGTGTACGAAAGGTTTCTCTGGTTAGTGAAGAGTCAGTGTTCTTTTTAATAAGTTCAACTTAATTTATTCTTTATAAACAGGAAAATATTGTGAAACACGTGAAATACGGTTAGATTCATATTTTAATGAAACATTTGACGATACCCTGAATAGTTGGGCGAAATTAAGTGTCGAAGCAAATATCCGACATGTATGTGAAACAGAAACAGAATATTTGAGCGGACAAGCATTACACTTCAATGGATGTGGTTGTTTGGAAGCAGTTACAAAAGAATTAAATATTAGTTCGTCCATGTCAGTATTCACAAATTCTTATGTCTGTATAATAACTTTAGCTATTTTCATGTGATTTAGAGGTGTGGCGTTTGCCTTTCATGTTACAGCTGAGAACAACTGTTTATCAACAAGTGATAATATTACAGTAGGCATTCAGTGGACGAATGATGAAGGCATAACATGGACAAATCTTGGACTTGTGTATAACATTGGTCATTCAGATGCATACAATATCACATTTAGTGAGAAAATGAAAGACCAAGGAATTCGATTGAGATGGATTCAGTTGGAAAGAAGCGGAGAACCATTTTGGGCAATTGATAATATTTACTTGTATTAAACCAAAACACAACCATACAGAGACTTACTTTACTGAATTCCAAATAGTTTTCAACTTTTACTTCAGCTATTTCTAATTTTTATAGTAGTTTTAATTAAAATTTAGTCTTATTCAGGACAACTGTTACAGAAGAAATTTTATAATAAATAAGAGAGCGTATAGAAACTGGTGAAGGATCGACGGTGATTGTCAAATGAATTCATAGTATTCCTATCAAAAAACATGAAGATATGTACGTTTCTTAGTTCTCAGCTCCGAACAATTTCAAACTCACGTTTACAGTGTAATGAACTGAGCTTATCACTGAGCATATTTCGTAATCAGAATTGAGTATTGATTTTTTGCTGCCCTAGGAAAAAGAGAAACTTTTTAAAAGAAAATCTAACACTTCTTATCGATGTGATTCAAGTCTTTGAATGTTGAAATGAACTGAAATTGTTCGACGGTTTTGAACACAACTAATATGTTGAGAACGTCATCTGAATTTAACACCATATAATTTAAACAAATTCTTATACTACATTTTAAATTATATTTTAATACTTATTCCAGTAAGAAAAGTTTCTCATACAGTTTCTTTTTTTATCTGGATCAACAATACAAAATTACATTTTGTTTAAGTACATAGCAACTTTATTGTTTGTCAAATTGTCCAATATCTGATCATGAAATCAAGGTGACTCATACTGAGAGAAAGTCTTTTACCTCTTTTATCGTGGAAACAGCTTTTTGTACACTGAATGATATATCCAACTTTAATTCACTAGGTTCGACGTGCCAATAACGAAGGATGTTTGCGCTGTTGATTATCTCAATCTTGATACCATTTTTCAACCCGAATGATTAAGAATTCTTAATTATTTTCAGACCTTTTAAGAACAGCAGCGTTATTTTACAGCAAATCACTAAGAGTATGATTTACTACACAAAAAATAAGAAAAACACAGTACTTTTACAAGAAAAATGTGAGCAAATCTAAATATGCACAAACACAATCGACCATTGTGACAAGTGAATTCACTGGTACTTCTCTGGCAGTTGAACTAAATTTCTACTTTTTCAAATAAGTTTGGATGGAATTAAAAAAAGAGGGAATGCTTTTGTGTAATTCTAAGCCTGCAAGCACAACGATGGAACGTCGTGTCATTTTAAGATTTCGAATAATTGCTTACCGCTGATACGTAGCAACCGTTCAGTTGATTCAGTCACTGTATAGTATTATGGGACAATTTAACGTTGTGTATTTAACTTACGAGGGAAGGTCACCAACTGCCACCTCGCTTTTTAGCTCTAAGCTAGTGGGTAATAGGTAAAAAAATGTGCTGAATCCGAATATGACAATGGTTTGGGCCACTAGACCTCCAAAGATTGGATTTGTAGAAAACCAGTTTTCCATAAACTCCAAAAACTCTCCAAAACTTTTCTTAATAAGTTAAAATTGTAGCACGCGAAATTCTGATCAAAATGAGACATTGCCCAGCTCTACATGACATTTCTTTGCAAAGTTATGGACTTTACAAGAAAAGC